TGAGGCAAAATTGTGACCTGACAAGATGTATGCCAGGGCAGAAGTGATAATGTTCCACGGTAGGATGGCTAATATCTCAGAAGGGACAAGGAAAACAGGATTTTTTCTTTGCTAAAATTGTAGAATAGCAGAGCTTCTTGAAATAACGGCAACACTAGATATGATGGTTTACGATTTCCTAGGGTACTTCATATGAATTATCTTATTTTTCCATTTTGAGATTCTCAACCAGGCTGTGAGAAAGATTAGAGAAAGGGGTATTATCTCTGCTTGTCATGTGAAGATTTATGTGCAGATGTCTGGAAAGATAAGGTGATTTGTCCAGTCATAGGGTGGTAAGATGTGGCACTTGATAGCAAGTCTCCTGGCTCCAAGTCCTGAGTTTTCTCAACAGATTCTATCCCTTCCTCAAGATTTAAAAAATAATCCTCTCCTGAGGATATATTTATTGATATGAGAGAGAGAGAGAGAGAGAGAGAGAGAGAGAGAGAGAGAAACATTGATCGGTTGCCTCTTGCATTTGCCTGACTGGGGACCAAACCTGTAACCTAGGTATGTGCCTTGACCGGGGATCATGATGCTTCAACCAACTGAGCCACCAGGCCAGGTCTTCTCCTTCCATGATGTTGGACTGTTCTTCAGTCATCCTAGAAGAAATTTAGCCTGGGGACACTTGGCCTGCCGGTCTCTGAAAAAAATCTCATGGGTAGATGGTACATGTTGTATTGAGGGGACAGAAGAAGAATAAATGAGAGAAGCAGGATGGTTACTGCCTATCATGTGAGCACAGTGTTTCATGTCCAATTGCCCCAGAATCAAGAAACAACGATGACTGGGCTGCAGGTACTGAGCTGGACTGGAGAGGGGACAGGGAAGATAGTAGCAGGAAGGGGGGACAAAGCTTCATCCTGCAGCTTGGTGGAGAGGCCGCTTCCCCACCACTACCCGACCCCAGCCTAGTCCGACTGTGTAGACAGTGTGGGAGGCTCCAGTTGGTCAATGGGTGGCTTAGCTAAATTGCAGGCCACTTCTTCACCCGCTCAGGGTAAGAGCCCCAGAGGATTCATAGGCCCCTCAGTGCTGGAGTGGTTGCTATGCCCTGTAACTTCCTGAGCTGCATAAATATTCAACAAGCTAGATCCTTCAGTTGTCTACAGTACGTGCATGCTTGTCCAGGCTTCACAGCTGGAGCAGAAATCTAAATGAGTCAGGAAGGGTTCATTTCACCTGTCAGATGCTGCTGACCTAATGTGGATAAAGCTCACTGTGTCTTTTCATCAACATAATTGCTGTAAAAGATCCTAGGTGGCAGCAAAGCCCAGACGAGCAGACCTGAGCCAGTAGCTGAGAGGCCCCCAGTTGAAGTGGGTGTGGCTTTCCTGGGCTGCCTAGAGGGCAGAGTTCCTGTTCTAATCTAAGGTGTGTATCGTGACCTTCATTACACTTCTTGATATTGTTGATATAAAGGAGTGATTTTCCACGGGATACAGTGGCAGTTCCTGCAAAAAATGTATTCTGAGAGTTAAATGACTTGTCTTGTTCCTTCATCTTAACATTTCTAAGTTTGATGACAAAGCCCAGGTTCACTCTCTGTTACCATTCTTGATTTGGTAGCCTTTTAATAGATCTGATAGTACTAACTGCCACGTGTGTGAGTGTGCGTGCGCAGGCGTGCGAGCGAGAGTCTCTTAAGCGCAGGGGTCAGGGCCTCTCCCTAGGGCCATGGCGTTTGCCCTTACCACACTCCTTCCTCAAGAGTTTTGGCAATGACCCATGTTACAACATGGAGGAACCTTGAAAACATTATAGTAAGTGAAAGAAGTCAGACACAGACTACCACATATTATATGATCCATTTATATGAAGTGTCCAAAATAGGCAAATTTACAGGCTCAGAGAATAGATTAATAGTTGTCAGAAGGTGGAGGGAGTTAATAAAAAAATATATTAAAAGCTGCTGATTTGTATACTTTACATGGGTGGATTGTATGGTATGTGAATTGTATCTCAAGAAAGCTTCCAAAAATAAAAAAAGATCCCTGTACGATACAGACACAGTGAATTGGCAGGAGAGACTGCATATATGACATGCCTATGCTGAGGTGGGGCAGGTCTTGGGGACAGTCTCATGCAGGAAAGGCTGATACAGAATTCTGACTCAGTTTAGACCAGCAGAGGTTAACCCAATCCTCAGGACTTTTGCAGTTTTCTTCCTTGAGAGATTTATTCCTTTGGTTCCTAGTGCAGCCCATAGACCCCTTGGCCACTAGTAGGAACATGGCTCCTTCTATCTACTGTCCATGCCGACCTTTTATGAGTATCTGAGCCCAATTTAACCTTGTCGCTGGAATCTGTTCCCTTGACATTTGGTTTGCTTTCTAGACTAATGGCCCAGGGTAAATATCCTGTGAAAGAAATTTTGCTCGCTTTTACTTTTTTTCCATTTCTGTGATTTCCCTGAACTCAAGTTCCTTCACATTCTTTAAGACCAAGAGCTGTTCAGGGCAAGTATTTTCCTATCACCTCTGAAGACTCGTGTCAATCGCAGATCCTGCATCGTAGCTGGCGCTCAGTGTGTGCTCGCTCAGGCACGTTTCTCCCTCACCCCTCGTAACCACATATATACACAGTCAATAATCAATATATATATATATATATTTCCTTCTCAGATAACTATAACTTTTTTTTTAATATAAAAGAAACGCTGGTTCATTTAGAAAAATACAGAAAATATAGGCAATGTAGAAGAAAGTAATGATCCCCTGAGTCCTACCATCAAGTAATAACCACTTTTAACAGTTTGGCATACATTTTCTTTACATTTTTAAGTGTAAATTTTGGCACATATTAAAGAATATATTTAACATTTACTTACATCTATATTATAAAGCTTAATGATTTCTTGAACACCATGAAACCCATCACCCAAATCCAAAACAGATAATGACTGATACTGTTTCCTCCCGTAGCCCATGCCCCGCCTGCCCACCCCAGTGGTAACCCCTGTTGAGAAGTTGGTGTTTATCATTTCCCCTTTATAAAAAAAATCATATTTTATTACACCGTGCCATGCCTATACAATATGTTATTTAGTTTTGTTTGTTTTTAAGCTTAAATTTAAAAAAACTTACTGTGTGTAGCCCTCTGGGATCGCCTTTTCACTGATGTTTCTGATTCGTTCTTACTGTTGATTGAGCTATAGTTCATTCATTTCATCGTTGTCTAATATCCCATAGTGTGGTCAACCCACTATTTGTTCTCCTGCCTTTGGACATTGATCTGTCTTTCCTTTTCTTCTTTTCTTTCCTTCTTACCCTCCTTCGTCCCTCCTTCCCTTCCTTTCTTTCTTATTCTCTCTACTGTGAACATTCTTGCTTGTCTTCTGGTGTGCTTGTACAAGGTTCTCTACCTAGAAGTAAAATTACTGGGTCACAGAGCATATGAATGTTCACTTTTACAAAGTAATGACAAATTACTTTCTAAAGTAACTATATAAGTTTACATTCCCACCAGCAATGTAAAAGAATTTCTTTGGATCCATATTTTCCCCAAACCCTGTTATTGTCATATTTCTCTTATTGTACAATATAGTGTGTATACACTGTTATCTTGTTGTTGTCTTAATATGCATTTCTCTAATTACTAATGAGATCAAGCATCTTTTTGTGCATTTATTGGCTATACTTCTTTCCTCTTTTATAGAATTCAGATCAAATGCTTGGCCTATTTTTCTAATTAGATTGCTTTTTATTATAGCTTTGTAAGGATTAATATATCGATTATATATTACAGATAAACATTTGCCCAATATCTGTGTCACAAATATGTTTTCTCCATTTGTAATTTGCCTTTAAGTTTATTTTAGGGATCTTTTAATAAACAGGAATTCTTAATTTTAATGTAGCTTAATTTATCAATATTTTATTTTTTTGTTTAGCACTTTTCAGATCTTCTTTAATCAGTTTTTTCTACCCTAAGGCCCAAAACAATATTTTCCTATATATTCTCTTAAAAGTTTTCATTTTTACATTTAATTTTTTTGTCCAGCTAGAATGGATGTTAGTGTCTGATATGAGGCAGGGAACCCAATGTTACTTTTTCCCCATATGGACAATCAGCAGTACCAGTTTCCTTTCACCTCTGACATATAGCATTGTTTCTTATTTGGGTGGGTCTGTTTCTTGGCTCTCTATTTTGTTCTGCTAGTCAGTTTGTGTGTATTTGTGCCAATTATGTTATTATGTCATATTATATTACGTTATAACATTAATTATGTTGTTTTTATGTCTTGTTATCTACCAGGGTAAGTCTCCCCCATGTTTCTTCTTTTTCAGCAATGTCTTGATTATTGTAGGACCTTTGCTGATTTACATTTTACCTCCAAAATTAGCTCATAATGTTATTACAAGTTTATAACTTGCTTTAAAAACCTTAATAATAATACATCATGACTATTTGTTGTTACATAAAAGTTGTCATTTACATAATATAGTAAAATATACTTTTTAACAGCTGCCTATGTTATTGTTTCAATGTATCATAATTTATTTATTCCATCCCTCATTTCTGGATAGTTAAGTTGTTGCCAAATTTTCATTATTATAAGCAATTCTGTGATGAATGTTGTAGCAAAATCTTTTAACACATCCATGACTATTCCTTCCTGATGGATTTCTGAGTCTAAGGATTTGCTCAATTTTAAGGATTTTGATACAAATTGCTATATTATTTTTTAGAAAGTTTTAATGAACCGTGTGACAGTGTTAATCTCAAGGCACACACCTTTGTTAACAAAGAATATTATTACTTAAAAAGTTTCAGTTTGATAGGCAAATAATTTAAATCCAAGTTAAATTTGTATTACATATTTAGTCTATATTAACACATTTTATGGTCATATTTTTCTAGCGAGTAACCATGGGGTTTTGTACACTGAACACGCTCCTAAGCACTTTCTCGTTTTGTTCCGTCGGAGGAACTGAGTCCTGCCGCCCAGGCCCATGGCGAATCAGGCTGCCACCGCGGGGGAGTTTATTTTGCTGGGATCCCACCTCAGCAGGCCGGTGGAGCTGCTGTTCCTGGCGCTGCCGCCGCCCATGTTCCTGGTGACCTTCCTGGGGAACCTGCTCATCATCTCTGTTGTGCTGTCCTACTCCCGCCTCCTCACCCCCATGTAGTTCTTCCTGTGCACCCTCTCTGGACAACCTCTTCACCTCAGTCATTTCTCCAAAAGTGTCGGCCAACTTAGCATCTGGGGATAAAACCATCTCCTTTGCTGGGTGTATCACTCAGTGCTATTTCTACTTCTTCCTGGACACAGTAGAGTTTCTTCTGTTGACAGTCATGTCGTATGATCGCTATGCTGCTGTCTGTTACCCGCTGCAGTACAGCACCACCATGAGACCTTCTGTCTGCACTGGGACTGTTGTGTTCTCTTGGGTGGGAGGCTTCTTGTCTGTGCTCTTTCTGACCATCCTCATCTCCCAGCTGCCCTTCCGTGGCTCCAACATCATTAACCACTTCTTCTGTGACAGTGGGCCCTTGCTGTCCTTGGCTTGTACGGACACCACTGCCATTGAGCTGATGGATTTTGTGCTTTTGTCCACTGTCATCCTCTGCTGCATAGTCCTGGTGGTCTATTCCTATACATACATCATCTTGACAGTAGTGAGCATCCCTTCCTCAAGTGGAAGGTAGAAGGCCTTTAACGCCTGTGCAATAGTCGTGATTTCTGGTGGCATCAGTGTTTAACTATATGACACCCTCCCAGAAAGAATATCTAGAGGTCAACAAAATCCCCTCAGTACTGAGCAGTGTTGTGACTCCATTCCTCAACCCCTTCATATACACTCTGAGAGACGACATGGTGTTGGGGGTGCTCAAGGACATGTGGGTGAGGGTTCAAGCAGCTTTAAAAAAGAGAATAATGACAATGCTCAGGAGCAAATTGTTCCCTTACAAAGACCAATAAAGAGGGGCTAGTCCCTCTTCCTCTTTACCACTATGTATGCAATGTATAAATTCCCAGTAATAGAAAGAGAGGACTTACTTGAGCAAAAGGATGTTCTAGCTAAGGGATTCTGAATGGTCTGTAGTAGAAAGAAGACTGAGCTCAGAGACAGGGACCTGAGCTCTGGCCTTGGGTCTAACTTGAACTCTGCGGCCACAGCTGTGTCGCTGTGTCACCGTGTCACTGTGTCACCAGCCACTCTGACCCTCAGCACTCTCATTTGAAGTGTATTAGGGCTGGACTTGATGATCTCTAAGTCTCATCCACACTGAATATTCTAAGAATTACAGAAGAGCCTTGCAGCCCTATTCAAGTCCCAACATGGTTGGCCCCACGTCCTCCTGGCCACAACTCTTTCACCAGTTGGCACAGAAGTCCTTCCTGGTCCCCTCCCCATGGACCCTCTTTCCTTCATCTCTAGGAATCTTTCCAGGAATAACTTTTATTATTCTCCAGTCTACTGTCATATCCTATAATCCATTGTTTTTCCTCAGTGGACATTTGTAATGATTTTGGTGGATATATGTAGTCTGTGTTATGTTATAATACTGCTTCTTATTATAGAACATATTTATAATATCCAACATGCTCACATTCTTATGTAAGACATGACCCTGTTCCTTCAGCCTCCAGTGATTGACTTATGGATGGATAATTGGGAGACACAATTCCTTGCCTGACCAGTGATGTATGTATAACCTGTGTGGCTTGGCTGGGACAGATTATTTGCGCAAACAGATGTCTTTTTTTTTGAGACTTTGAATCAAAAGATGCAGAGACTGTAACAGACAACAGAGATGCTCCCCTTGGAAGCTTGAGCAACTTTTACACCTGGAATGGCCTTTCCGGGGCCAAGTACAAACTGTTAAGTAATTAGAGGAAACAGTCTGGCCATTAAGAGAATGGAGCTGGTGTGGAGAGCAAAATAGAGAAGAAATAGTAGAGAGACCTCTCAGCTGCAGAGACACAGAGTGAAGGGGCCTCTTTTCTGATGACTTCCCAGGCCAGAGAGCTGGCAGAGGTTTATTTCTTATTCCTAGGTTTGATGAGGTTGCTTGTACCCATAAATCAAACCCCTTTTTATTGAGTAATTTTGAGAAGGTCTTTGTTTCTCATGACCAAAAGTTAGCTTGACTATAAAGTGGGGTTCTCTCTGTCTGCACCAAGTGTAACCCTCCTCTTTTCTAGCTCCAAAGAACTAGAAAGATGTCTGTTTTAAACTGAACTCTTAGTCTGAATTCTTGGTGCCCAAATACTGCCTGGGATGCTTCACCGGCACCACCTAGGCCTATGGTTCTGGTCAGTGCAAACCATCTTCCAAGTCATCGCAAGCACTTCTTTTCCTGTCCCTTTGGCCTCTAGCACGGCGGCATCCCCTTTGCTTGAATTGACACCTGTACTTCCCATGGACCTGGTCAGAAGGACGCAGCATCTCTAAGGAAACTCTGTAGAGTGCTGTGGAAATAAATAAGACCACCCAAATGAGAACAGAGGTGTTTATCCAAAACTGGGTATAGCAAGGGAGTCAGCCACCATTACTTAGGTTTGACTCAAAGTTAGGCAGAGAGTGAAAAGCTTTGTAGCGGAAGAAGAGGGTACGGCTCAGGTGTGTTCTGATTGGAGGGTTTTGGCATGGGGAAACTGGAGGTAAGCTAATTACAAGCCAGGCATCTTTTTTGGTTTGTTTTTTTCATTCTGAGTCCTTTATTTTGACACATGTCTTAAATGGTTGCAATTTGCTGTGAGGTAGGTTTCCCCCAACAACTATATCAAGATATAATTGACATACAACGAAAAGCACAAATTTAAAGGTTGCATTATAAAAAGTGTAAGCCTGTCTGGGACCGTCACCACAATCAAGAGAATTAACAAACATATTTGTCACTCTCAGAAGTTTCCCTGTGCTTTTTATTTTTTAAAAATGTATTTTGCTGCTTATGCTATTAGTTGTCCCAATTTTCCCCTTTGCTCCCCTCTACCTGGTACCCCCCATTCCCTCCAGCAGTCTCCCCACCCCTGTAGTTCATGTCTATATGTCAGGCATTTAAGTTCTTTTGCTTCTCTGTTACCCATACTGTTCTTAGCAACCCCTTGTCTATTTTGTACCTACCAATTTGTGCTTATTAATCCCTGCACCTTTCTCTCCATTTCCCTCTTCCCTCTCCCAAATGATAACCATCCAAATGATCTCCACATCTATGATTTGTTCCTGTTCTGCTTGTTTGCGTTGTTTTTTAGACTCAGTTGTTGATAGCTGTGAGTTTGTCATTTTACTGTTCGTCATTTTGATCTTCTTTTTTCTTATATAATTTCCTTTAATATTTCATATAATAATGACTTGGTGATGATGCACTCCATTAGCTTTACTTTGTCTGAGAAGCGCTTTATCTGCCCTGCAATTCTAAATAATAGCTTTGCTGGATACAGTAATCTAGGTTGTAGGTCCTTGCTTTCCATCATTTTGAATACTTCTTGCCAGTACCTTCTAGCCTGCAAAGTTTCTTTTGAGAAATCAGCTGACAGTCTTATGGGAACTCCTTTGTAGGTAACTCTCTGCTTTTCTCTTGCTGCTTTTAATATTCTCTCCTTATCTTTAACCTTTGACATTTTAATTATGACGTGTGTTGGTGTGGTCCTCTTTGGGTCCAACTTGTTTGAAACTCTCTGTGCTTCCTGGACTTGTATGTCTATCTCCTTCACCAAATTAAGGAAGTTTTCTTTCATTATTTTTTCAAGTAAATTTTCAATTTCTTGTTCTTCCTCTTCTCCTTCTGGCATCGCTATGATTTGGATGTTGGTACATTTAAGGATGTCTCAGAGGTTCCTAAGCCTATCTTCATTTTTTAAAATTATTTTTTCTTCCTGCTGTTCTGATTGAATGTTTTTTTCTTCTTTGTGTTCCAAATCATTGATTTGATTCTTGGCTTCATCCCCTCCAGTGTTGGTTTCCTGCAGGTTTTTATTTCACTTAATGCAACCCTCATTTCTCCCTGGGCCTTTTTTTATGCTGAAGTACCAAATGTGTTCATGGAGCATCCTGATAGCCAGTGTTTTGAACTGTGCATCTGATAGGTTGCTTATCTCCATTTCATTTAGTTCTTTTTCTGGAGTTTTGTTCTATTTTTGGCGGGGGGGGGGCATATTTTTTTGTCTCTTCATTTTGGCATTCTCCCTGTGTGTGTTTCTGTGTTTTAGGTAGAGCTGCTTGACTCCCTGTCTTAAAAGTGTGGCCTGTTGTAGAAAAGCACACTGGTAAGTTGTACGGGGCAGAGCCTCAGGCAATCGTTAGGGTGAGGCAGCCCACGCCACTGCTCTGTGGCTCTGTGTCAGGGAGGGCTTGCAGAGAGGACAATGCTGCTGCATAGCCTCTGGAGTTTTGCCCAGGAGGAAGCTGTCTCCCTACTCATACTTCACTTTCTCCCCATATGCCACTTGTACTCTTCTAGCTGTTGCCCTGGTGCTGAATCCCAGAGAGGGTGGGTCTGTGTGAGTCCTGAGTGCCTTGTAGGGCCCTTAAGAGGACACAGTTTCTTCTACTACCCAAGACCCCACTGGTGTTTACAGCCAGAAGTTATGAGACTTATCTTCTCGGTGTTGGGATCCTGGGTTGGGTGGTCGGGACTGGGGCTGGGATCCTTCGTTCCCAAGGGATCCCTCCAATTTTTTATCCATCACATGTGGATGTGGGACTGCCCATCCCGGTCTTTATGCCTCTCTCTGCCTTTCCACATCTCTACCCCTCCTACCTTTCTGGATGAATGTGGCTTCTTTAACTCCTTGGTTGTCACACTTCCATACAGCTCTATTTTCTGACAATTCTGCATGATATTTGTTTTGTAGTCTAGCTTTATTTTTTACTATAGTTGTGTACAGAGATGAAACCTGTTTATCTATGCCTCCATCTTGACCTGGAGTCCCAACCCAGGCATATTTTGTGATTGGTTTGGGGGGCAAATGTGGCTTTCTCTGATTAGTCTTGAGCTGGAAAGAGGTGGAGAGGGGAGGGGACAGTGAAAAAATAGGGAAGCTGGCAGCCCTACCTGTGGCCTGACCATTCTGGGTTGACTGCTGTAGAGGTGGTAGTTTGGCTTCCCTGCCTGGTTGCTTCAGAGTTTGAGGGTAAGAGCCTGGCTATTACCCATTTACATATTCAGTCTCCCGGTTCTTAACACATCGAAAGTTCTTGTAGCATTTTAAAGATTAAGCAGAGGAACAATCTTCCCAAAGCTGACAACCCATCCCATGAGTAGCAGATGATGAAAGGTGAGCTCAGATGAACAGAGTTTAGTTGAGGGTTTTGCAGGCCAGGAGTGCAACGGTAGAGACAGAAAGTTTCTTTCATGTACTGAAGACCCTGCATCTTTGAGTGATGCAAGCTCCAAGATTTAGACCTTTGGCTGGCAGACCCTGCCCAAGGCATACCCTGTTGTAGTACATCTGGCAAAGCAGTTAAGGTTCTGAGGCCCAGTCTTCCATGAGATTAAAAAGACAGCAGAATCTGAGGTCAAATTGGTGGAGAGAAGGACATGAGGTCTCTGCTTCCCTACAGGATGCTGAGATGGCCTCATAACCAAGTCCCCTCTGGAGGTTCATGACTCCTCAGCTGCCCTTCTTTCCTCGCCCGAAGGAGTCTTTAAACCATTGACCAAAAGTTTCTAAGTTTGCATTTAAAAGCAGCAACGAATATCCAAGTTCCCACTATGAACCTTTAGCCAACCACTTCCATTCACTTCCTATCTAAACCTTTCATCCTTTGTAGGATTTGTGTGCTTGTCTGTCTTCTCCAAGAGACAGGAAGTGCCTTTGAGGGCAGAAAACTGGATGTTTCTGGGTCCCCTACCCTATTTCTCACAGGAACCTACGTCAGTGTTTCTCTTGCTAAGCATGCTCAATAAATAAATACTAAATAAAATGAAAATGTGTTCGGTTTAGCAATAGTCCATTTTGAAAATGCAAATCTT